GCAGTGATCTGATTCATAATGCAGGTTTTTTATTAGTAACATAATTAGTGAATAATTTCGTAAAATGAATAAATATATGCCAAATAATAATAAAAGCTAAAAAGTTTCTAATGAAATTTAATACACAATAAATTAAAACTAAATTTAAGTTATTTGTGAAATTTAAGCATATATTATTATGTAAATTTTTTTAGCAACGGTATTTATATTATGTGATAATTGAATAAATGATCGGCAAATGATCGACAACAGTATTGTGATAAAATAGGGATGTCCGCTATGTTGTATATACCGAATATTTCGTTGTCGCCGAATTTATCCATAATTAAAACCAATCGGCCAGATCGGTATGATTCAAACCGAATGTATCGTCTTCTTGGGTAATTAAGCTAAATATGAATACCTTTTATACCGTAAGTTTTTTTTTCGTGGCACCTGTAACGAATATTTGGATTAGCCTAAAAGTGGAAATATTATAATCAAAAACGCCTTGTACATGAGTATGTTTATTTTATTTTCAGAATCATATCGTTGTAATAAACAAAAATTACGAAAATTAAAGAAAAGTTGAATATTATATTATGTGATACAATAACGGATTATGACACGTACAGTACAAAATTAATATTTCTACATTCTACGTGATTGACATCGAAAAGGGGTAATGTCATACAACTTATTGTTTACAGATCAACATTGATAACACCAATGTAATTTAAAAAGCGCATTACTACTGAAACACATGGTACTTGTGTCCATTCTTTAACAATTAAAAAAGTCTATTAAACGAAGAAATCTTCACATTTTTTTGTTGTACACAGAAAATCCAGCGAAACTTTTGTTAGCGGATAATAGTATATAGAAAATGTAAAATTATTATTACAACGAGGAAAAAAAACATGATTGATTACAACAAATATATATATATATATATATATATTTTTAGATATTTTTAAAACTTTTTTTTTTGGCGATTTAAATATAACTTATTTGAAACCTTCGAAAATTGATCCGTTGTGCATAAAAATGTTACCATAAGAAAAAAATAATAATTTAAAACAAATTATAATTATAAGACAATTATGATACCATTTTATCACTCCTTGCATTTGATTATTTATATTTCGTTAATTCGTTTTGTTTCGTTGGATTTTCAATATAAAACGAATATTTACATCCAAAGAATTTCTTATATTATAAATATTGTTATTTAAGAGTAATATTTTTAAAAAAGAAAGGTAATTTAATCTATAAATAATATTTCGTTCATTTATTTTTGCTTCTTTTTTATTTTTTTGATAAAGTAATATAAAAAATTGCAAAGATGATCATCATGGCTGAGTAATAAAATATTACGCGTTTTAAAAAAGTTCTCAATAAAATTTGAAATTACTGCAATTGATTGGATATTATATAGTCATAATAATTAATAATAATAAAAATGCGATCATAAAACTTAAATTTTTCTGTGCACACCAATTATTATGATGAGATTACCAAATAGTTTTGTGCGCGCATCGAGCACTTTCAATGAGGCTTTATAACGATAACGTTAACCGCATTTCCTCTTAAACAGTAATAAAGCAAGGGATAAAAAAGATTTGACCGATTTTATTAACACGAAATTTATCATAATAGATATGTGTTTTTTTTTTTAATATTATTTTATTATCAAAAATAGGTTGTATGTAGCCATATATTGACTCATTGAAATCATTTCCCATTTAATATCAAAATATAAATATTTTGTCATTTTGTTTGTGAAATCGACGTTCATTTCTTTCAATGGCCACTACGCCGAATGATCTTTATAGTTTCAATCAGAAACTTAAAATTAGTATTGTTTATCTATGTCTGTTTAAAAGTTATCTATATTATTTCGTAATCGTGATTTTATATTTTAGAAATTATTGTTTTCGCAGAAATGACTTTTTTAATTTATTGCCCTTCAAGTTATTTAACTTTTGGCGTGCCTTCTGCCTGTAAACGGACCTCTGATTAGTGCTTCGATCCGTAGCGGTTTTATCCGGATTTTCATCCGGATTGAATTTCATTAAATTTCGCTGGCACTATGAGTTTGGCCAGAATTAGTATAAATTTTTGGGATAATAATACTTTAATGTTGGTTTAAATTATAGTCTGTTTAAATCTGAAATTCATAATCTTTCTCAGCCATAATC